TTATATGCCAGTTTATTTTATATGCCTAATATAATAAATGAGAAAATTAAAATTCAGAATAATTGTTCAGAGTTAACAAATTTAAAAAAGGTATAATATATTAATATTAAACCCGTTCGAAGGCCCGCAAATTGGAGGCATGGGGGGCGAAGCCCCCATAAATTTTTTTTAGTTGAGCCCCCTGAGATTGTAAAGGCTAGCGATGCCCCTGGTTAGCGAGATAGAAATATGCACATGATTTTTCAACATTATTAAAATGATATACGAATAAGTATCATAACTCATTCAAAAAATATATAAATTCTAATCGTGATATTGGGGTAACAACAGCTTCTCGTGAGGCCTTATTCTCTATACTCAAGAGGGTTTTATCGAGCACCAGAGAGTTAATGAATGAAGACCAAGTAAAAAACATTTTGTACTAATATGAAACTTGTTTTATTCGTTTAAGTTGAAATTTAAAAAATAAAATCATTGTACGCATTTTTTTTAAAATATATATAGCAAAAATATTATGAATATCTGACTGTTTGTTTTAATTTAAAAATATTGGCCACCCCCATATAATCAGTTGGCACGTAAATTGAAAATTCCTGACAACTGTCCTGCTAATATAATTAAAAAAAAACTTTGGAAAATTTTCCCTCCTTTTTTTTTTTTTGAATAATAGGGATATTTAATACGAAAAATCATGATAAAAATATAAAAATAAATTAAAGTTAAATTTAAAAATATCTAAAATAAAAAAAAATATTTATAAATAGAAAATTAATAAAATAAAAATTAGCTATTTTTGTTAAGCGATAATCTAAATTTAGATGTATATAAACATTAATACAGTCAGAATTCATTATATAGATATATTTAGAATTAAACTATTGTAAAGATGTTCACAATTTCCTAAAAATTATGTCATAAAAAATTTTTATAATATATATTTCTAGATTTTCACGTATGAGTATGCTATTTGGTGTTTTCTTAATAAAACATCTTTATTAAGAAAACACATATTGTAATGTATATAAAAAACTAGATTAAAAAAATATATATGAAAATTCCAAAATCAAATCACATAAATTTGAATTAAAAATCAACTGCATATAATAAAACATAATGAATATATGAACGTTGATATTTAAATTAATACTTTTAACCTTTCAACCCTCTATAATATACGAAAATGAAAAATGTTTGCACTTTTAAGAGTTTAAACTACTATAAGATATTAAAAAAGGTTTTTTTTTTTTAGATTTTATAAGAATTAAAATTTATATAATTAATTTTAATTATAAATATTAAACGATTAATAATCTTCGATTATAATGAAATATATAGTAATAACCATTTTTGAAGTGGTATATTAATTATATTAAAGTAGATGACTAAAAAGCAATGGCTCTATCAAGTACAACCCAGAAAACTTTCTGACGCAATATAAGAAGCAGATTCTAGATATAAAATAAATTCCTATCTAAAGGAGTCTATTATTTAAATAGTGAAATGGAAACAAATTTTACAAATCAATGAATTTTATCTCCATTATTTACCTTAATTGTAAGATAAACAATCTTGATTAAAGATTACAAAATCTTAAGATTGTCTTAGAATATTTTGGTATGAATTTTAATGGCAACACAATTTTCAGTATAATTAGGACAGACATCAAAAAAAAAATTTGAAAATAATTATTTAAGTCGATTTAAATTATTTAAACATAATTTTCATATATTGCTAAAATAATTGTAATTTACTATTTTGTAATAAAATTTTTATAAAATAGCTTTTTAATTAATAGCTGTTTTTAATTACATTACACCTAAAACTTTTACTGGTAAAAAATTTGAAAATGATAGTCAAGTTAAGACAATTAGGACATAACTCATTAGGCGTAAAAAAAAATCGTTTTAGACGTAAATTTTTGGATTATGTTTTAAAGATATAAAGCATAAAATAATTAAAATTCTAAACTCTGTTTGAACCTCTGTCTTAATTACATTAGGAAGTTTATAATAAGCGTTGATGAATTCATTGAAAAAATTTCCATCCAAAAAGAGATTGAATTTGATAAATTTATAATATGCTTCTTAATTATATATTTTTTTTTCCCTATTTTTTAAATACAATTTTAATTTATAAATCTTAAATGCTAAAATCATATTTGCAAGGTATCTTTTTGAAAACCTTTATTTTTTAAATTAAATTAGCTAGTGTTTAGAATCTATAAAAAATAATTTTTGTAAGATATCCCTTCCCCTCCTCCATAGCAAATTCTTTCGTACTCGTCTGGGCACAAGGGGGGATTGAGATTTAATCTCTGGCATTTTCCTTAGATTTCAGAGATGCCTACTGGACTCTTTTATATCTGAAATGGTCAAAACAAACTGGTTTCTTTATTTTAACCCTTTAAAAGTCCTATGAACTAATTTGACATCATCATATTGCATGTTATTATTTTATCAATAATCAAAAAAATATACGCGTAACTTTTGACTATATTTCCGTTTCAATTTTTTTCTTTCTAAATTACTTGATTTTACATATTATAATATATTTGAATATTAAAAAATTCTTAAAACGTTAGCGCCTTTTCACGGAAAGTGTGAAAAATGTTAAATTTATTTACGCCTTATACCAGGATAGAAATTGTTTTAATACAATTTCATAATAAATAAATATAATTTTTTTATACATTCGTTGAGCTCAATGATGTTAAATTGTATCATGATTTTTTCTTACCTGTATACTATGAAAGAAAAGTCGAAATAAAAATTTTACATCCTTTGGTGTAAATAAATGAAGATTTTTTATAAAAAGTAATTTTTTTAGTTTTATTTTAAAAAGCCGAGCTTTAAAGGGTTAATTTTTTTTCTTTTATAATATATATTATTTTTATCATTATATTAAATTTAACTTCTATAAGTATTCAATTAGATTAAATATATTATTCATGTAACATTGAATATAACCTTATAAAATTTAACATATCTTATTTCACACCAAGTTCAAGTTCATCTATTAATCTTCTTGTTTGCTTTCGTTCCCTCGTTGGATCTAGGATTTTATTTTCCTTCTTGACTTGGTTTGGCTGATTCTACTATTTTATCTTTCTCCTAACTTTATGTAATCATCTATTGTTATTGATTCGGGTTCAACTAGTTATTCCCCTATTCGTAGTTGGTCGGCTTGTTACCTAGGATTTTTCTTCTACATTCTAAGACAATTTAGCTTGTTGATTTATTATCTTTTCTTAACTTTTCCAGGGTGCGATGGCGGATTCCACTGGTATTACGGCAACACCTGGTATATCTCTGCGTTGTTTTTGACATCCTATTACAGCTGTAGTTTTTTGGCATCTTAATCTAATTGTTGCCACCATATATATATGTATCGTAATATATTTTATTGAAGTAATACCCTGGTGTCCTATACGCTAAGTGAGTACAGAATGATTAATCTGCCATTCCAAAATATAATATCGTCCTCATTTTCTATTTCATCTATTCTTATTCTAAAAGCTTGTAATTATGATTTTGCATATTTGTACCATTTAATATTTTTACTCATTTTAAGATTAGATTTTTTGCGGTTTCTTCTCTTAGTTCTATTCTAGGTAGAGTCAATGTGTCATAAGTAAGATTTACTATATAATTCACTGTTTAATTTTTGCTTGTTAATCTATCATCATTTTTCTCAATTGGATTCCGCGATAATGCATCTAAAATTATATTTTTAGAGCCATTCTTGTACATAATATCGTAATCATATGCGGATAATTTATAGGTCTAACGTAATAATACTTGATTTGTTAAGGAGTTTAAATCTCTGTTACCACCATATATTTTTATTAAAGGTTTGTGGTTAGTTATTATTTTAAACTTAAAATTATGTTAGCAGTGCACATGATAGAAATTAAGGAATCGCCAACATCTGCGAAGGATATGACTACTGGGACGCAAAATTATAATTCATACATTAGAAAATGCGCCCACAAATCTCATTTCATCCTTCCAATGACCGATCAGGGTAACACCACAAGAGTTGAGTTTTCAAAAATTTTATATATATCTCATATTAAGGGGCAATGCTAAGCATTAGACCTTTAAAGGTACTCATTTTAACACTTGGGCCGATATTTAATGCTTAATACATTTTTTAGTTTAATGCTAAACATTATTAATTAATTAAAGTTATTAAACAATATTATTAAGAAAATTTTTTTTAATTAAAACGAGATAGAAAACGAAAAAAATTTAAAAAAGAACTTATAAAATGAACAAATCATTAAAGTGAGTTTGCTCCTCCATATTATGATTAACATTGAAATTTAAATCTTGGTAGTCTATATCAAGTTAGTTTTCCAAATGAGTAATCAGCTTGTCTTGCAACCAGCGTGCCAGATCAATATAGTAAAGTTGGAGATGCGTTACGCCAGTACCCTTCCTTAATCATTCCTAGTATTGCTAAATGAGCCGCTTGGGTCGATTATTAAAAAACAGTCCTATAAAGGTTTTAGCCAAAATAATAATATTTTATGTAAGCCTGAATATTTTACTCATATATGGCATAAAGGTGTTTGGGCCTCTATTTGTCAAAATCTAGAGGCTTTTCATAATACTATTTTGGCTAAAATTTTAATCTGGCCATTTTAAAAGTCCAACCCAAATTCGACCGTCTTAAATATACTAATTAATCCTCCAATCCCAATGATTTTATAATAGAAACTTTAATTATTTTTATAAAAATTCATACATAAATAATAATATTAAGACATATATATATAAAGTCAACACAAAAATTTATATACTGGCAAAAAAAAAATAAATTCCAAATTAAATTAATATAAAGATGAAATGCAGTGTAAAGTATAATCAAAGAGATGACCATAATTTTAATTAAATTACGTGAAGAAATCGCAAAAGAGTATAATGCTATTATATAAAAAATAATAATATACATTTTGAAAACGAAATGTCATATAATTTAAACCCTAACACCAAATACAAGGATTTATAATATATATAAGAAGAAATTATTTAATAATAATAAAAAAAAAAAAAATTAAATAATTAGAATTTGCTGTTTTCTAAGGTTCTCGGGCCACTGTATAAGGAATGAGGGCTCCATGTTGGTTATCGCTGGCAGTTAACTTTAAAACAAATTTGAGAATATAAAGTTTATTTTTTTTAAAAAATTCGTAATAAAAAGGGGGAAAATGAAAAAGCCCAGGGAGATAGGTGCACTTCGAGTGAAAGGACATTTATATTCAACACATTTTATTTTGAAATTGATAAAATCCGAATCTGAACTGAATATTTAATGACAAGAGATATGGACCCAAAAATATTTTTGTTAAGCTTATATAATTAATTTTCTTTTACACATTTATATTAATTATAATATATCTTATAATCTTCTAAAAGATCTTTCCTTTGTGTGGAAAATTATTAGATTAACGAAAACTATTCAATTTATTTTCTCAAATTCTATGTGAAAATCTTTCATCATACCTAACAAAATCATAATAAGTCAAAAAGACTATAATATTTCAATTAGAAAAGTTTAGTAGTAGTTAGATATAACAATGTCATACATCATAGTTTCATTTTTTTACCTTCTTTGTAATTAAAAAGTTAATGTTTTAGGTTGATCTGGTAAGGAAATTATTGAAAAAATATATATTGATATGTCATGAGTAAATTTGATATTTTTGTGCTATTGACTTTGTATGAACTAAAAATTAACATTTCTTAAAACTGTACTAATAATTATTTCTTAAAAAAAGCTTTTGATTCATAATACTCTCAAAACTTTGAAAGACATTAGAGGAGGTAGGTACCCCGATTGTTTTGGTAAGTTTGTTGGAACTAATTTATAAAGATTATTCAATGCATATTATTCATGCTGGCCGCAAATCTCCTAAAATCCTGATAATGAAGGGTTTGAAAAAAGGTTATGTTCTATCACCTCTCCTATTTAACTTTATTATAAATTATATTATTTTAAAAGTTAGAAATTTACATTCGGCTCAGGAGTCCTCAGGAAATTCAAATATTATCGCTCTCGCAGATGATTTATGCCTTGTAGGTAAATCGGTGTCAGATATCCAATCAGTTATTAACTGTATCATTGTAGATGCGGGGCACTTTGGTCTGACATTAAATAAAGAAAAGACGAAAATGATGACATCGTTTTATACTTCTTCGCAGGTGACCCTAAATATTGATGGTAATACGATTACAGAAGCGGATATTCTAAAATATTTAGGGGTCTTATTGCATAAGAAAGGTGGTACAAAGAAAGATCAACACTTTAAATTGAAAACTAGGGTAAAGTACCTTGATGAAGATTTGGTCATCTAGGCAAGTATCTATTCCTTTAAAGACTCTTAAAGTCTTAATATTAGCTTCCTTATACTGTGGTATTGAAACCTGGAACGATAATATATCTGATAATAACAAGATGCAAGTTTTTATAAACAAACGTTTAAGATATTTAACTAGGACCTTTTATCCGCGAAACACTACTAATTACATGTTATGAGCGAGTTGCGATATCCTTCCTATTTATAAAACAATAAAATATAAGAAAATTGAGTTGGTGGGCCATATTTTGAGACACCCCTTGAATAATTTAATTCATCTTATAGATCAATCCCCTGAAGACACTGCTCTTAAACCTTTTTTATTCCATAAAAGCAGTTGGTTTGGGAGAATTTTAAGGTCCTTGATTAAATTAGATTTATTTTGGGATTTCCTAAAGAGAGCTTCGATTGACAGGAAAGTTTTCAAACATATTTTGAGACTCATATATGAACATATGACGAATACATGCTGAGGACTTATATTTCTTGTAAAGGAGTTTCCCAAGGGAATCTATATCATTATTGGTACTAATATCTTACAGTTCAAGCCTCTATTTTAAAGTAATTAAATTGTTTTTAATTATTGGTGATTAAATTGAACAATATTATACAGGATATAAGTTAATTATTAAAGATATGGAATTGTATTTGGTTATTTAGTAAATTGATAATGGCATTTTTAATGTCCCTTATCGAAATATTTAACTTAAATTAATATTTTTTAGACCATTGTATTTGGAAGATTTCCTTTTAAAATGACTTTCTATTTTTATTCTACTTCTCATTATAACTTATTTATATTTCTACTTCCTGCTAATTTTAAATATGCTACTTTATTGGTAGAGGGTTTAGTTCTACTCATAAATTATTTTCTGGGTAATAGGTTTGTCGGTATCCTGAGAAAAAAATCGGCTTAATTAAAAGAAGGATAGGCCTTCATATAATTCACGTTCGCTAATTTTGCGCAGGTCTGTGACTAACGTGCAAGATAAGATAAGATTATTATATAATTTAAATGTTAGCTATACCGGCGCGATAGCCACTCCGATAATCTGCTGTTGTGCATATAAGTGATGCTTCCATTAGACTTTATATGATTTCTTTCTTTTCATTTTCCCACTGTCTGTCGGCAAATTATACTTATTCGTGGAGCTATTGTTTTGATCTTCTTTATAAATGAAGGATTTTCAACGATTGAAAATGGCTGAATTCCAGCTTTAATAAGTTATTAAATCATCTGAAGTGATTTGGGTAGTAGTCTGAGGTCTCTTGGCAAAATTTATTAATGGACGATTAGCCTAGTCCAATATTTTCTTTAATATATTTATTCTCCTTCCCCTTTTTTATTTTCATTAACAGTGTTTGATGTTTTCTCTTATAATTTAAAATTAGAATTTTAACCATTTATTTAGTGTCTATACCCTTAATTATTTTACAATGTTGCAAGTTGAGGTAATGCTAATTTTTTGGGAAACATGACAATTATATACTATCAAGGGATTAGGTTTATTTATTATTATTTTAAAATATGCTCTATAAATTGGCCATGGAAAAACAATGTCTGAACTTGTTGATGCTTCATTGAATTTTTACAATTTCCTCTTCATCCTTATTAATATTATCTAAAATAAATTTTATAAAATTAGCATGATATTATAAAATTAACCAATTCCAAATTGAAAGTAAGAATAGCAGATTCCTTGAGATGGATTTTTAATATCAAAATTTGTATGGTGTATTGATAAACTCGAACATTATATTTAATGAATATTTATATATATTTTTTTATGTATAAGTTTTAATATTTTATATATATATAATTTTTTAATATATATATAAATATATGCTCATATGAAATAAAATAAATTTTGCATAAAGTATATCAAAATGTATCTTAAAAAGTATCTATAAACAAATACCGATACATCTTAAATAATATGATACAGATACTCTTTTTAAAAAAAAATGTATCTAGATATAGATACCACATTTTTATATCTAAATACTTTAAAAACTCTGTTTTTTTAACGTTTCTTAGAAACTCTGAAAGAAATTCGCCAAGTAATTTGCGGATTATTAGGCCAAAAATTTAATATTTGGATTTCCTCATTCTTATAGAGCTATCCTTATTTAACATTATCATCCATAAAAAAAATCAGATGTTATTTTATAAATTATACATTAAATATTATATTTCCTATTTCCCGATGTGGGGATCGTATTTATACCCTGCGTTATCTATTCCAAGTTGATCAGCTAAAGCTTTAAGATATTAGCAAATTTTTTTGATTAAGTGTTTATATTAAATGGGTCTCGATTTTCCTGGTCTCCCATAAATATATTTGTAAATAATTTGGGGTTTGTTTTTTTTTTACTAATAAGCACACGTTGTTATCATTGAAAGTCCCTTCTGAAAAATTGATGCTTTCAACAGTAAAAACTCCCTTGTATGGTGCAGTAACAGCGCTTCTAGTAATGGTCGTACCAGCAATATCTAAAGGGACATCTCTGGTTAAAGTTGTGGCTTGTATTACTACGTCGCCATTATTGTCAACCACGATTACGCTAACTTATGTTTGAAAAAAATATATTTTTGGATATTAACTAATCCTTCCATATTACAATTAACTTCTATTAAAAAAATATTAGTTGAATTGATAATGCTGGAGATGAGTTTGGAACAGTTTAAAAGGAAATTTTAAATTTTAGAAAATAAAAATAAATATTTGTTTATATGATAGTAAAAAAAAGAGAAATTACGAGAATATAAATAAATTAATAGAGCTTATGGAGATAAATATACATATAAATTACTAAGAAGTTCGTGTCAGCAAAAAAAAAAATCAAAAGATGACAAGATTAAACATTTGGAAAATATAGGAAAATAAAATAAAATATTTTACATTTTAGATATTATACATTAAATGGAAATATGGAAAAATATTATCCTTTAAAAAGTAATAAAGAATTATAAAAAAAAAAAAATTCAAAAATTTAGATTTGAAATAAAGGCGATTGTGTAATTATGGTTATACATGTCGTAATTTTTAAAGGGAAACCCCCCCCCCCCCCAGACCAATACCCATCAAAACCAAGAATAAAGACTTTCATTCAAACCATATTAAAATTAGCTTTTATTTGATACCCATATCAAAAAAATTATCTTTTACACCGCGCTCCCACCCCCATCCTCCCCAGACCAAGTCATACCCATAAAGACCAAGAATGAAGATTCAAACCATATTAAAAATAGCTTTTATTTCCCATATCTTGATAAAAATATTTTCGATTCCCCACTAGACCCGCCCATTATGGAAGAGAGATTAACCTCCAGTTGAATAGAACTTTTGATTAGGTATCGATTGATACCCTATATTAGACAAGTCTTATATCATAAGGCCAATGAAAAACTGGATTGAAAATTAATGAATAACAATAAAATTAAAAAACGCAACGAAAAGCGTGGAAAACGCTTTTAAAATAAGATTCCTAGTATTATCGTTCCTTAACTTAAAACTCTAATTTTTTTAGTTATCCCTTTTAACCCTGCGAAGATACCGGATAGTCATGATCCCTTTAAAAATTACGACATGTATAATCGAACTAAGATAGATTTCAAAAAAAATGGTATGAAAAATTCAAAAAAAGTTTAAAAAATACGAATTTGATGTTCAAAAAAAGTGATAAAAAGCATTGTGAAAAAGAAAAGTGCGCTAGAGATATATACTAAATTTGAGCTGTATTTTCAATAATTGAAAATGCCTGAAAATAGTGAATAAAATTGTATTATAAATTTAAGAATTAATTTAAGAGAAAGAAGAAAAAAGATAAGAAAAGAAAAGTATTTTTCATGATATGATGTTTTAGGGAAGGAATTGATGGAAGAATTTGTGAACTTAAAGACAAAAAGATTAAGAACAAGTTAGGATTTAAAAAAAACAATATAATATAATAAATATCTCGGCAGAAGCCAACTTGTCGCGGAAAACGCGTGAGTCTAAGATCAGTAGATATCATTAGAAGAGATCTTTAGAAACCTAGCAGCCGAAGCTAAAATAAATTTTCAAGAATTTCATGCTGGTACTAGAAGAGACAAAAATTGGAAAATGGAGATTAGAATTAATCCGTTTACTCTAGCGATCGTGAATTGGTTAAAAACAATCTACGCTTAACAGTTATCGTCAATCGTTTTCTTACATAGACAAAGCGCTATTAATTTACGAGAGATCGTTAGAAACAAGCAAAAGAAGTAGGGATAAATTGTCAAGAGATTTATGATGGTTCTAGAAGAAACAATAATTGAATGGACTAGAATTATCGTGAATCGTTTACAAGCGATCGTCAATCGCTTGCAGAGATAAAAAATCATTTTCCAACATAGAAGCTAGGGTAAATCGTCAAGAATTTTAATCTGTTATTAAGGAAAAAAATTTTAAATGAAATAAAGCCGTGATCCTATACAAGTAATCGTTACAAGCTATGATAACTCAAAGGAGAGCCTTCATTGGAATTTCTAGGACACAAAGGATCAACCCAATATATGATTAAAAACAAAGACATTGGGTAAAAATAAATATTTAATGGAGATACAAGATCATTCAAGTAGATATTGGGAGTGAAATTTGGCTTTTTAAATTAATTAGAAGGGGCGTTGTAAGTGAATGTTATTATTTATTTAAATTTTAATGTATAAATAGAGAGATAGATTCTTATGATGTTAATTTTGATGAATGCTGTTGTAGATAATTAAAAATATATACATATATTAAAAAAATGAAATCAAAAAAATTTTATGTATAAAAAAACAATTTCATTTACTATCTTTAAAGTAAGGAGGTGCCTTAGAATTTGATGCTAATCCTTGAATAATTAGATAAGTGGCGAAACAGTCATAAGTAACTGCTGATCCAAGTTCATCTCTAAAACAGGGACCATTTATCGCTCCCGATACTAGAAATTTTTATATTTTTATTTTATATATAAAAAAATTATTTAGTAAGATTTATAATATAAGATAATAATACCACTTTAACAACCATTCTCATAAAATTTAGTAGGGAGGAATAGGGATGTGGGAAGGGGTTATGGCTGACGCTGAACAAATTGTAAAATGCACTCATTGTTGAAAAAAGAGTGTCACCTTTAGGAAGTAATTTTTAAAAAATAATACGTTAGGTCTTTATCAGAACTGAAACAGCCTTTGTTTTTTTTGCGTAATGTTACCAGCAATTTTTTGCCATTTTATTTTCCGAAAACGAAGGATATTAACTTGCCAAAATTAATTTATATATATCCGGGAAATATGTTCATTTTTAAAAACATTATTATTGTCGAGTGCGTTGATAAATTTTAATTTTAAAAAAGAAGTTGTAAGAGTATATTTTTTATTTATTGATACGTTACCTCTTTGCGAATTTACGAAAGTAAAGTTACTAACAATGCAATCCATTAGTGTATTTGTTACGCACCCACATATAACTGTTTCTGTATGATGAAATAATAATAGAATTAATCACATTGTCATTGTATATTAAATTAAGAATTTTTTTTATAATATATATTAAGAAAATGTTTCCTAATATGTTAAAGGATATGACTTCCTTGTGCGTTTATATAAAGATATAAAATTTAACCGATGAGAACTTACCTACGCGATGCATGAAGAATAATTTCGATATAAATATGAGAAAGAAAGTCGACAGAAATTTCGATTTGCATTTATCCATTTTGTTACTCTATTTTTGAAAAAATAGCAAATTAATTTAATTTAATTTAATATTTTTTATTTTAAAAAAAAATAATTTTTAATCGGTTAATATCGATAGTGATCGAAGATTGGTATTTTATATAGTTTCAGTTAAACCTTGGAAGAAATATCTAATTTCTTAAAAGGGTAACTTTGAAATTTATAATATTAAAATAAGGGAGAGATGAAAAACAAAACCTTATAAAACCTTGTAAAATCAAGGTTAAGTTTAACACTTTTTTTTTATTTATGATGTAAATTGTAACCTCTACGTTATGTTCATTTATGTTTTTTTTAAAAACAAAAAAAAAACTATATTTAATTTGTAATATATATCCAAGAAAAGTGTCTTAATCTCATTTCATTTTATTTTTTATGAGGAAGTCGTGTTCATGTTAAGCCTTCTTGGATAAGTAGTTTTAACTGGGTAAATATTATTTTTCCGGCATAAACTCGAAAATTGACTGATATATAAAATTTAAAAAAAAAAAACTGAGACCATTTCTATACTGAAAAATTGAAAATCAAATGATACCCTGGCCCTTTTCATTTTCATTTTGAAGAGAAGAGAAGAGAAGAGAAGAGAAGAGAAGAGAAGAGAAGAGAAGAGAAGAGAAGAGAAGAGAAGAAAAGAGAAGAGAAGAGAAGATGTTACCATTCTGGGTGGCATCTAAATTTTGAATAAGTGAACGAATATAGTTTTGTGTGGGAAAAAAAAAGAAATTAAATTTGTGTTACATTAATAAATTATTTTATTATTATCTAATTTCTGACATGTTATAACTGTATTTGGAGCTTTACAGTCACAACGAGAATCTCTGACATGTACCGATAACCCCCCCCCCTTCCCTCATCACTCACAAGTTAGCGCGAAATTCAAAAATACAGCGGATTTTGTATAACTTATACAGAGAATTCCCGCTAACCGTGAACGACCAGGATAATCTAAATCGGATAAGAGTGTTTGGTCGATAATCCAAACAAAACTTAAGAAACATTATAATTTAGGCGAGTTGGTTGGTTTCGAAGAATTTGGATTAAAAATTTTAAGTACGCGACCTTAATATTCTAAAATTAAAGACCCTGCGAAGTCGAACCTTTTTAAAGTATAAAAATTATAACGGCCGCGGTAAATTCGTCATTAAAAGGGGTTTGGCCCGACTCCCAGGGATTAGATTTAAAAATTTTGGGCCGGACCTGACAATTTATATATTTAAAAAGCAAATTCGCGTGTTTTAAATGTTGGAACTATATTAGTTAAATTAAATTTTATAAAATGGGTATGACTAAATACTGTCTTGCTAAACTGACTTGCTAAACTGTCTTGCTAAAAAGCAATTAATCATATTTAATCATAATTTGATGATATAATATCTTTTAAAAAAAAATTTTTCAAAAACGTTTTTTTTATTTTACATAAATCAATTTTTAATTAATTAAAAAATTGATATTAAATATAAAATAATTTAAAATTCTATTTTTACTTAATATTATTGGAAAATAAATATATTTACTAGCTTATTATAACTTACATTTTATTTTTCAGTTACAAAATTTAACAGATTTATATCCATAAGATGGCGTTAAATACATAAATATGAAAAAATATTCTTAGGAAACCAGAATAAATATAGGATAGCGCTTTTTTTGTATTTGGGTGTAAATACCTGTGAAAAACCTTAAAAAAAATTTAAAAAATAGAGGTTTCTTTGAGATTTAATTAATGAGTAGGTTTAGAAGCGAAAAATAGTAGAAAGTTTGTAAGGAACATATTGCTGGCGTTATTGATCAAAATCTCTTCATTTTTGGTTTATACATGTATATTTAGGTGTTAAACATTATCCTAAAAAATATTTTGTAAATATTATGATTTGACCGAATGCCGAGCTTAAAACCGACCAATTACTAAATATTCGATCGACCAAATTTGGTGTTAATATTATTTGGAAAATAATCATTTTTGGTTTATTTATCTATAAATACGTGCAAATCATTATCCCAAAAAATATTTTGAAAATATCGTGATTTGACCGATAACCGATTTGAAACCGAAATACTGTCTTGCTGGCGTTATACATAGAAAATCTCTTCATTTTTGGTTTATACGTGAACAATAACGTGTTAAGCATTATCCTCGTCGAGCAAAGCGACGGTGAGCAAATATGCTCCCTCATGTTCATTATTCCCAAGAGCAACGGATCACCCAGAGTTATAGTGACTTCTCCGAAGTCTCAAAAAACTTCCTTCATTATCCGTTTAGACTCAAATCTCTTCCTTTGATGTCTACCAAGCTCGATCAAGCGACATTCGCCTGTAAAATCGATATCCGCTCTGCCTTTTTCTCTATTCCTTTGGCGACACAAGTAAGGAAATTCTTTGGATTCAAATTCAACAATGTTAACTATGCCTAACGAGTGCTCCCTATGGGCGCTTCATTTAGCCCCTACTGCCTCTAATCTATTATCCTGGACGCATGTGTTACAACGGTTAGGAAAGCTAACTACAATGTTTACTTGGACGACATCTTGATTTATGGCATAAATGAAAACGACGTGAAATGGTCTACGCGTTCTCTTCGCTGCACCCTTGAAGGATGGGGCCTGCAAATTGCCCCCGAAAAGTCAGTTCTGAACCAGACGTCAACCATTACCTATCTAGGAGTCCCCATTGACTTAACCAACAAAACGGTTTCGGCGGACACGGACGAAGGCTCAAAAAATGCCTAGACGTTTTCAGACAGCACTCATATCAACACCTTCAAATCGGACAAGAACTAGCAGCAAGAGTCCTAGGAGTGGTTAACCACTACGCGTATACCATCACTGTTATGTCCCGCCTGTTTTCCCCTTACTACGTTACTATGAACGAGGGACGACTGGCACCAATAGTGGACACCTGCCTCGCGTTTAAGAAAACTAATACCATCATCGATGCGCTAGCTTCCCCCTTGTCCTTATATTACTACGCTAATTCCCCAGTGTACGTCGACGCCTTTAATTCCCACATAGGGGTAAACTACTGGGAAGTAGATAACCTATCTGTCGCGTACAGTGAAGCATGCCTACTATTCAATATCCCAATAAAAAATAAAATTATAAGTGATTTATGGACTAACAACAATTGTGAGTCCATGAATCATGTATTTAAAAGTTATACAAATTGGCAATCAAGTAATTTAATTAATTTAATTAATTTAATTTATATAATATATAATAAAGTACAAATACAAGAAAAAGATCTCGAAAGAGCTTTGATAGGAAAAGGATAATATTATTTGGTTGAGGGGTATAAGTCATTCATCAATTTGGGAGAAATTTAGTGAGGAAGATAAAAAAAAAGAGGTAAAAAAATTTAATAAAAGGAAGTAAAAAACGGGAAAGAGAAAATGTCATGTCATCATGCGGGGAATTAATACTTTTAAAGCCTAAAAATTCTAAAAAACCATGTCAAAAAATTAGAATAAAAAAAAATAGAACAGTATCAATAAAAAAAATTAAAATTGAAAAATAATAAGGCCCTAAACGTCGTACTCTTTTTCATATATATCAAATCAATTTTTTAATTTTACAATAGATTTTTGTATCGAAACAATGCTTCATCCTAATCATAGTTTTAAAAAAAAATTTATTCACATCGCATGCAAATATTAATTTTTTTTTAATTTTTATTCATATCGTCACAAATACCAAATTTTTTAAATATTAATTTTTGTAACTTTTATTCATTCATATCGTCACAAATACCAAATTTTTTTTAAATTTTTTTATTGACATCGCATACAAATATTAATTATTTTTAATATTTATTCATATCATCACAAATACCAAATTTTTTAAATATATTTTTGTAACTTATATTCTTTCATATCGTCACAAATACCAAATTTTTTTTAAATATTTTTTTTTTACATTGCATAATTTAATTGATTATTCATAATTTCTATTTTGTTAAATATTTTTTAAAATATATGAGGAAATGATGATATATATAGATGAAAATACTAGGGATATCTGATCCTCGTTTAATTATATTTATTTTTCGCTTTTGTTTTTGGTATAATAATTGTATCAAATGTCTTTTATCGACATTAATTTAATAAAATTATATTTTATTTTTTGGATTAATATGATATTATATAATAGATAAAAAATAAAATATTTTTAAGATAAAGAATTTTCTATGGATAACGCCAGCAAAGCAGTATTTCGGTTTCAAATCGGTTATCGGTCAAATCACGATATTTTCAAAATACTTTTTGGGATAATGATTTGCACGTATTTATAGATAAATTAACGAAAAATGAACATTTTCCAAATAATATTACTAGCAAATTTGGTAGATCGAATATTTAGTAAGTGGTCGGTTTTAGGCTCGGCATTCTGTCTAATCATAATATTTTCAAAAAATTAAATAGGATAATGCACAACACGTTATTGTTCACGTATAAACCAAAAATGAAGAATTTTCTATGTATAACGCCAGCAAGACAGTATTTAGTCATTGGGCCGGTTTCAAATCGGTTTTCTGTCAAATCACGATATTTATAAAATAATTTTTGGAATAATGATTTGCACGTATTTAAAGATAAATAAACCAAAAATTATTATTTTCCAAATAATATTAACACCAAATTTGGTCGATCGAATATTTAGTAATTGGTCGGTTTTAAGCTCGGCATTCGGTCAAATCATAATATTTACAAAATATTTTTTAGGATAATGTTTAACACCTAAATATACACGTATAAACCAAAAATGAAGAGATTTTGATCAATAACGCCAGCAATATGTTCCTTACAAACTTTCTATTATTTTTCGCTTCTAAACCTACTAATTAATTAAATCTCAAATAAACTTCTATTTTTAAAATTTTTTTTAGGTTTTTCACATGTATTTACACCCAAATACAAAAAAAGCGCTATCCAATATTTATTCTGGTTTCCTAAGAATATTTTTTCATATTTATGTATTTAACG